TTTAGGGTTCAGGGTGTAGGGATTAGTTAAAGAGAAAGAGCAAAGAACAGTATTGCAAAGCAGACTACATGACAAAAGGAAGGCGGCGTCGACATAGCAGCCACACAAGAAAGACCAACAGTTAACTCAGGAGGGCTGAAATGAGAAAGCGAGAACGACTGAACCTGTACTTCCCCCCTGAATAGCTAAGTCAAGAACAGAAGTCGACCTGTGGATTTTTTGCAAGTGAACATGCGGGGCCCAGGCATGGAGTGCTGGAGCGGGGGGGGGGGGGGGGGGNNACTACGGTATAAATCCTGCATTACCCATAATAAGGAATATACCAGAATTACCATAGTTTAGGGTCCTTAAGGGAATGCAGGATTTCTACCATCAAGAATTTGAGCAAGAACTGCTAGTTCCACACCCACACTGGAGGAGCAGCAGCAGAAGTGGCTGTGGTAGAAAAGTCGTCAGTCATCGTAGTCACCGTTGTGAAGAGGTGGCGGTGGCAGTGGTAGCAGAGCCTCGAGAAGCACAGAAGACATGAGGCTCGAAATGGTTGACGGCACCATCAGAAGCCAGCACCAGCCACTGAATATAACATACCCTAAACCCCAAACCCAGAAACCCTAAACCCTAAACCCCAAACCCCAAACAAAATAAGCCCTAAACCCTAAACCCTAAACCCTAAACCCTATAAGCCCTAAACCCGAAACCCCAAACCCTATAAGCCCTATAAACCCGAAACCCCAAACCCAGACTGGTGTACCTTACCGACCCAGAGCTTCGGCTTTCTGGTCCCAGGCGCACAATCCTTCGGATCGCGGTAGAAGGAGATTTTGTAGACGCTGCCTCTGAGGTCCTCCAGGGTTTAGGGTTTAGGGTTTTAGGGTTTCGGGTATAGGGCGCTGCCCTTTAGGTCCGCTGGCAAAGGCGCTCCAGTGGTTCGGCACAAAGAGGGCATAGTGCAGACCCCTTAGACCCTGAGCCTTACAAACCCTAAACCCTGATCAGCAAGTTCAATTTCCTTAATAAGGGCTGGAGTCGTCGGATCCCTGCATTTTGTTTTTACGTCATTTCTGAAGTCTTGCAAGGCATTTCCCCAGAGACTCCAAACGCTCGAGTTAAGGAACATGCCTTTAAGCCATAGTAAGAACCCGTCTCTACTCATAAAAATCCATGCGGTATATTGCAAGATTGCTTACTTCAGGAGTACCCGGACCTTCCAACCTCCTTTAGCTTAAGTAAGGAATGTGCCCTATAAATCATGGTAGGATCCCGAATATGATCTAAGGATACACTCCTTGCAAGGTCTGGGCGTTGGAGTCTCACGGGAAGCTTTACCCAAAGGCTCTAAGGACTCATATTATAAGGGTTTAGGGTCTAGGGTTTAGGGTTTAGGGCCCAAAGACCGTACTACGTAAGGCTTTTGGGCTATTTTGAGCCTTGGGGTAAGGAAGCGCTGCGTAGCCAAGACCTCGGGCTCTCGGCCCTGACACAGCCCTGCACCTCGACTCCGAGGAGAACTTGTTAGAGTCAAAGTTTAGGGGTTTAGGGTTTAGGGCTTTTGTGTTTAGGGGTTCAGGGTTTAAGGGGGTTTAGGAGTTTAGGGCTTTTGGGCTTTGGGCTGGCAGTTATTAGGGTTTATGGAGTAGGTTGGGGGGGGCCAGGGCTTTGGGGTTGGCTTCTGGGTTGTTGCAGAATAGGGCGTCGGACTTTGGGCTCAAGAGTAGAGGCCATCAGTCCACCTGGCACCCTAAACCCTAAACCCGCAGAATCTCTAAGAGACCAGGATACGGTCGATGATATAAATCCTGCATTACCGATAATAAGGAATATATACCAGAATTCCCATAGTTGAGGGTCCTTAAGGTAATGCAGGATTTCTACCATCAACAGTAACACCACACACAAAAGGGAACCCCTCCTCTCTTGAAGGTACCCTGGCTACTTTCTGTCCCGGGATACCGAGCTTCGGAAATAGGGACCCCACGACTCTGCCGAGCCCCAAAACCCTCAGCCAGAAACCCCTGAGCCCCCCACACCTCTACACCTGTAAACCGTAAACCTGCAAACCCTAAACCCCTAGACCCCTAAAGCTCTAAACCCTAAACCCCTAGAACTCTAAAACCTAAAGCCCTAAACCCTAAACCCCTAAAACCCTAACCCCTAAATCCTAAACCCCTAAACCCCAAACTCCCATGGGCTGCGACCTGAAAACCCCGAAGCCCCAAACTTCAAACTCCGACACCCTAAAATCCTTCAGGGATCTCTTCCCAAAGGCCTCAACGGCCGGTTTAGGGCCTAGGGTTTAGGCTTGGGGTTTAGGGTTTAGGGTTTAGGGCTTCTGCAACCTCAACAACAACCCCGCTTTGATTCAGGGGCCGGAGAACCCCTCACCCTGCAAACGCCGTGAACCCCAAACTTCGCACCCGATCGAACTCGCAGCAAGTAAGACTAAGACAATGACCCTAAACCCTAAAACCGTAAACCCTAAACCCCTAAGCCTCTAAACCCTATCCCCTAAACCCTAAACTGTAATGCAACTTTCGATTTTTGGAGATCTTCTAACCGACTCAAACCAGATAGCCTCGGACCCCGCATCTCCCCCGAACCTCCATATTTTTTAATTAAAAACTGTTTTTAATTAAAAACAGTGAGCTTCCACAAGGAACTTGTCGTCCTTGTTTCTGCTGCAGTTTAGGCCTCAGGTAGCTAGTTGAACAAGTCCACGAGAGACGAAACCGGTACATGAGCGCTGCCTGAGAAAATCTGACTGCAGTGACCTCTTGAGCTTGACTGCTCATCTCATTGAAGTGGTTGTCCTTTCTATTGAGCAGTCGCTATGGCGTTCACTGTTGATGATCCTTCGGGTGGTACTGGTCACATTCCAACGCGACATCCCAGTATCCAAACTGCCGGCGAGCTACTGAGATCCAGATCCCGTGAAGAGCATGGTCTAGGTGCACGTGACAGGGATTTTACGGCTGCAGGGCGGCCAAGACGTCAACAAGCACCCGAAGAGCAATCAATGATGGACCTCATGGCTCGACAAGTAGCTTTGTTACAAGAGCAAACATTGTTACTTCGGCAACAATCGGCATCGCAAACGATAGGGGAAGACGAGTACATCGATCCATCGCGCATTCTTTCTTCATTGGACCCCACATTGAGAACTACCATGTCCAAATGGAAGTCCGACTTCTGCAAGGATCTGAACCATGTCGCAACTCAGCGCGAACTTCATGACAAATATGAGAAGATACGCGAGAGTGGCGAGATCATGAAACAGTTTGCAGAGGAGTCCAATCGCAAATGGCAGTGGCCTAAAGCATACGAAGCCATTGCCGAGCCCATCACTCCGTTAGAGGATGTTCCAAACGGCGACGACGAAGTGTATGACATCAACCAAGCATGGGCAGCATTGCGTAGGAAACATGCGCTGGAATGCCAGGATTTCATCATGCAACATCAATCACGTGCTTTGGCATACTTCGAAAACAAGACCGGCAACAGCAGTGTGCAACAGACTGTAGACGATCTTTGGAACTCCTGGAAGGACAGTTTCGGTTCTCTCCACTCCGAGGCGTCTTTGCAACGTGCGAGCAAAAACTGCAAGCACTTTGTGAACGTGGTCATGCGTGAAGAAATTCCTAAGATGAAGGGCCGCTTACATGAAGCCGCCGAGTTACGCAGCAAACGTGAGGCGGCCATCATCGAAGCCGAGACGAAGTATCAGCAGATGGACCCCCAGCAATTGATTGCATTGCTCCAGTTGGACAAACAGGCAGTGCAGATCAGAAAAGGAGGCAATTTAACAAAGCAAGTTACCGTTACCAAAGGAAGCGAGCTAGCAGCCTTAGTGAAGCAGTTCCCCGATTTGGAGACATTCTTCGACGTCAAGCACGTGGATCCTTCGTCTTCTTCTACTGCCCCGCCCAAGCTCTTGTCAGCGAGGACGAGAATCCCTACACCACATCCTTCACGAAGTGCCCGACGACCGAAATCGCAAACATCTCTACGTGGAAGGTCCCATGGAAAGTCTCCACGTTCCTCTAGCCGACGCCCAAGCAAAGGCAAAGGTAAGAGCAGGAATGATGGATGTGTTGGGAAAGGAAAAGGTAAGGGTAAAGGCAAGAAAGGCAAAGGACGTGCAGCAAGCCGCAAACGTGTCTCCTGGGGGCATGCCTCTTGACGGTTTGAGCCCCCCGACCATCAAGCAAAACTCCACAGTAGATGGAAGCATAGAAGCTACTGGAATTCAGATTTGCAGACGATTGACTTTTACAAGTTTTGCATCAGCAGGTCATACAGGACATCATTGCACAGTTTGTCCTCGCGGATCGCTGGTGAGTTTATTCACTCTCGAATGCCTTCTTCTTTTCATGTTCCCGGCTATGTCTTACTCTACTTGAACAAGGGTGGCAAGTTCGTGGTAGACAAGCATGAGTGTTCCCTATCCGAGGTCATTGACAGCGTCACCAAATTAGAAGAGCGTTTACATGTAGCGAAATTCTTCGAGAATGTCGAGTCCGAGCGTCATTCCATGCAGAGGCCCGCGGTGAGATCTTCGTGGAAACCTCCGAAACACGGTGATATCGAAAGGTATGGACGTCTCCTCAAAAAAGACATCATCGACAGTTTCACTGCATACCCGCACAAGCGCAATACGAGTTGGTTAGACAACAAGGCTGTTCAATGGCTTAAAAAACACAAGAATCAAGCGGTGGTTGTTGATGCGGATAAAGGTCTGGGTGATGTTCTGATGCCCAAAAGCTGGGTTTCTTCCGAGCTCAAACGTCTTTTGGATGAGGGTTACCAGAAGATCGAGGCAGAAGAATACCGCCATCGATCCTTCCTTGCACGTTGTGCCTTGGACAGCGTTGTACAACATGCACAAGACGCCCGCATCATCAAGCCACGCGAAGCTTCATTCCTCAAACAAAACATATTCAAGCACAGAGAAGGAAGCTTCAGGCTCAGAGTCAAGCTCCACAAGAGTCCGATTGTCGGACGTCCTATCGCCAACATGTCGTGCAGTTGGGTGGCTCCGGCTTGCCTGTTTCTTTGCAGCATGTTACGGCCTATTCAAGATGAGCTGGCTGAAGCACACGGTTAGCAGCAGTGCGGATTTCCTGTCTAACCACCTTCCCAAATCTGTGCCACCAAATTACAGCCTTGCCACAATTGATGTGAAGAACCTCTACCCAAGCATCCGCAACGAGCGCCTGATTGAGGTACTGATCAGAGCAGTTTATCGGCAATACGGTCATTCTGGTATTGCTGATTTTGTTGTGCAGTTGCTGAAAGTGATCCTTCGAAACCAGTTCATACAACATCGAGGTGAGTTTTTTCAAGCTTTCGGTATAGCAACCGGATTGCCCCCAGGTGTATTCTTAGCCAACATCTACCTCAACGAAGTGGATCTCCTGGTCATGCAAACCCATGCAGACATTGTTGCGTTCTACGCCAGGCTTGTGGATGACTCCGTTGTTTGTGCAGCTGACATCGATGCCGTCAGAAATACCCAGAACTCATGGAGACCCGAAATCATTTGGGAAGTTGCGTCACACGGTGGACGTACATCGTTCTATGAGCACCCCGTCGCATTCCTTGATCTCGCTTTGTCTCATGATGCTGGTAAGCTGACTTGGCAAACTTTCAGGAAGCCCTTGAACAAATATCTGTACA